TGCTGTACATAATTTTGCTTTACTATGCGCTTGTTAAACAAAGACTACTGAAATAATAAATGAGAATAAAACACCCTCTTAACAATTTAGGCTAATTTATTATATCTATGTTTAAACTTGATGTTAAATATAACTGAAACAATCTAATTATGTTCTTTAATTATTCGTGTAGATGTTATTACATTTCCACCAAATTCAATATCTCAGACTATTTCAGTCGAAGTAATGCCATTGATGAGTGGATTTTTACCGATACCCACGTTAAATGTTTTTCGGTACTTTCCATCCAATTCACGTCAAAACATTGGTAAGCTAACACCATTAATATTTTTCTACGATTAATTTCCCAGGCAATTCATTACTGAATTCCTTCCAACAAAATATATAAATTAAAACCAATGATGGTATTCATTTTTAGATTAATTTCCTAATTTCTATTTTTTAGAATCTAAATTGGAACAATTTTCAACTGGTCAAGTATACGATGCAAGTAAAGGTGTCCAAACACACGTATTACCTCGTATAACAGCAGATACATCCTAAGTATAATAATTATTTTTATAGTATTATCCAAAACATTTTATTGCTCATGTTATAATATACGTCATATATAATATTTTAAATTCAAATTTCATATTCATACAATATATTTATATAATTATTCTTGTTGCCATTGTTTAATATATGTTATACATATAATATATTATTGTACAGGGTTTATAATACATAGTATTATATATTACATGTTATTTTATTTTATAGATAATTGACTTTTTTTATTATTTATTAATTTTTATAAGATATATACAAATTATTATATTTGATTAAGAAAGTAAAAAATTATATTGCCTACTTAATTGAGTAAGTTATCTACCTATGTGTTTAATATAATAATTTTTATCCTCTCTGTTAGGACTTCACTTCTAAACGTATTAAAGTAAATACAATTTTTAAATATTGTCTTACTGAATATAATATAATATTATTACTTTTTATACTTCAAAATTAAGATCTTTCTATGATCATGAAATGTAGATGGAATGCAATTCTTTCTTTAGCAGTTTAGCTATTATATTATTACTTGTTGTCCTGGCCCCCCGGGCGTTGCCTGTGTATTGCTATTCTTTTTTGAATTTTTATCGCCTGTTATAAATCCACTAATATATGATATTATGATATTACTTACTAATATTTTAGATTCTGAGCGGAGCGATGAATGTATTGATTTTACAATGATGTGTTGTTTATTTTTTATATATATATATATATATATTTTTTTTTGTCTGTAGGGCAATAAAAGTGTTAAGATTTTCTTCACCTGTATATTTTCTGATACTGATAGGAAAGTGAATCTAATTGATACTTTGGGGGGTCAAAAGTACAAAAATACTGTCCTAAAAGGTGATGAGACACAAAAAAAATCAAAAAAAAAAAAATACAACATACATCATTGTAAAATTAATACATTCATCGCTATACTTAGAAATTAGAATCTAAAAAAAAGTTAATGTGTGTTGCTGGTTGCCTATATTGACTAAGTAATACAAGTTTGGGAGGTGCTGTACTGCGTTTGCCTATACGTGGTGCCTACGATTTTACATGTAAAATTGAAGGAAGGTGCACACCTTTTCATATAATATCTAAGATTTGATGAATCATGATTCATGACATATCATTATATTCATATTTAACACTACACCATGGACTAAGATATATTTTAGTTCATGCTTGATAGTTTATACACAGCCCCACATAGTTATTCTTAGTTGTTAATGTAACTCATTAAACGCAACATTTAACATGCACGAGACACGAGTCAAGGGGGGGGGGGGTCCGGATCCCATGGATCCCCCGTAAATACGCCACTGATAGACACCATTAAAAACGTTTGTAATATTTTTTTCTTCTTTCTTGAAATGATTATGCACACTGCACAGTCCAAGCAATATTCTAGAAAACAAAATAAAACAACTCAATAAAACGGATGAACGGTAATAAGATATAACTTTAAAAATTGCAGAGTATACTATCAATATATTTTAGCACAAAGTGTACACAACATATTATGGTTATTTTACTAATATATGTACATATATGTATAGAGCCATATAGGATGTATAGGTATACAATATAATATATTGTAAGTTTAATAGAAGAATTGGTTTCGGTTGTCAAGGAAATTACAGAATTGAAAACCCGAATTTCTGTTATAGGAAGTACGTAATCTATACTATATCTATATCTATAGGTAGCAACCAATATATAATACACTGTTGCGCCACTGAGGTATTTTTTACATCCAGATTTCCTACTTTTCCGGTGGATTTTCCTAAAATTTTTGGAACAAAGCAGTTTAGTTCCCATGCGTTTTTTTCGATTATTTTTTTCCCAAAATGTGTGTTTTTTAAGCACTGAAAACAAGTCTAATTCAAAAATTCTCGCATTTTTTTACTTAAAAAGTTATATATCAAGAAAACTATGAGACAGTAAATTTTTCAAAAATACTTGATATCCTCGATAAAAACATCGAAAAAACTTTTTGATTTTTTTTAAAATTGTATGTTTTTCATGATAGATGGAAACATGCAAATACATTTTAATCATCGTATTTGCTGTTTAAAAACTCTAAAACCAAAATTTACACAATGTAGTAAGCCAGCTACTACGGAGTAATACCAATTTCATAAGTACATAGTTATTATTATAATATACGATGGACCGGCATGACCTGCAGGTAATAAGAAAATAAGGGTTCGAAAATAAACGTAGTAACATTTGACAGAAACAAATACCAAAATCATAAATCACGAGTGTAAAGTCATTATAACATATAATATGTCGGAATAACCGGGTATTAAGTACAATGGGGTCAAAATAGGCGGTTGTCATATTTGACAGGAATACTGGACGCATACGATGAATTTAAAATATTGAAGAGTAAAATGACTAATCACAAGTTAGTAATACATTCAATCAGATAAATATTCAATCGTCAATGCGTGGGCTAGAATGATGACTATACGAGTGACATCCGTGAGAACGGAGATATCGCATATGTAGGCAAGGGGTACGGGGAATCTCATATATAAGGGAGCCCGAATCGGCCTGTATTCAGACGTGTACTACCACCCATTAGTGCAAGCACCTTCACGCCACTCTGTAGAATATTATTTGGACTTAGAAAAATTATCGAACATTATAATAAAAATTCACAATATATTACATCTGTCTTATCATTCATTGTCTACCACGACAACATCATCAAATAAAGTGTCTGCGACCTGATCTAATAATAACTTGGTTGCCACTTATCTACTGTCAGTACTACGATAGTAGGTACCAAGCATCCAGGCTTATTACAACAATATCACAATATTCCTCGGCAGTGATCATGAGTGAGTGTATCGGCACTCGTCGCTATGCTCCTCGGCGCAAATCGAAAATATCCCTCGACTTGTTATGCAAAACCACCTCATGTAGGAGTGTAAGCGTAGGCGCAAATAGGAGGGGCTAGGGGGCTTTATCCCGCTTTAGAGTTTCTATAGCCCTCCCAAAAACTAATGATTTTACAACTATAATTTAAAAACATCATAAGAGTTTCAAGTATAGACCTGAGCTTCAGCCCCCCAAATTTCAAACACTATTTACGCCAATTAGTGTAGGACACATTGGTCACAGATATATTAATTTAAATTTTTCATCAAAACTACTTTAGATGATATTTAACAAGATAAAATAACATAATTAATAAGAGGCAACAACCCAATACGAAAACGTAGGAAAGCAAAGAGCATGAGTGAATACGTAAAAACGTAAATTTTGGAAAGATATACCTAACTTTCAAAATAACTATTTGCTAGAATTTTTAAATTAGACTTTTGTATTCAGTGCTTTAAAACACACATTTTGGGGGGGGGGGGGGAATCGAAAACGTGGGAACTAAACAGCATTTATACCCAATTTTCTTTCGTAAAAACCTTCTCTTGAACATCTTAAAAAAAAATTGAGCCAAAACGTTCTCGAGTTTTTGCGTGACACCCCTGATAATTTAGATTCACAAATCACCCCCCTAGGTCAGGGGTCGGTAACCTGCGGCTCGCGAGCCACACGTGGCTCTTTCGGTCTAAAGTTGCGGCTCTCCAGCTACACACAAAAATTAATATTTTATGTTCAAAAACAATATTTTATATCTTTAAAATAATTTGATGGTGCCCCCAAGGAGCACAGTCTATCGTTGTAAAATGTTTATTATAGACTATAGTACATGTCGTTAAAATCGATAATCGCGACGCTATCTACAACTAATATTAGTCATACTCCGTCACGCCAAGTGAACAAAGTCCAAAATAATACGATATCATTTTACGACTTATTTTGTTCGACAAAATTATATTTAAAAAATTACAAACATTTTTAATGGCTCTTTAAAATCTGGAAAATTTTCTTTATTATAACTTTTCGATCTTCCGTCAAAAAAGGTTGCCGATCCCTGCCCTAGGTCCAACCACGGGATGTGCTCAAACGGGGATTTAAGGATTTACGGTGGAAATTTTTGTTTATAAATGGTCGCCATTGGTTGCCACGAAATCAGTGTATTCATTCAATGCATTTAATTTGTTTGTACGCTGTGTTTTGATAATATATGTTTCGAAATTACGTAAGTATTGAGCGTATTATACTCACATATAAGTTACGTACATAAAACAATGACAAGTCTTAGTGGATGAGGAGGAAATATTGGTCGACAGACTCGTCATTCACAATTATTCCAGTCGTTTAGGAAGAGTTCAGTGACATACTTGGTATACTGCGTCCATAGACGTAAATAGAAGGGGGCTCGGGTGGGCTTAGCCCACCCTTCAGCCTCTCAAGCCAACCTAAAATCATGAAAAATTATAATTATAATTATAATTTGTCATGTCTAAAACACTACAACCTCTTGACTCTCCCCTCTGTTAAACATTTTAACTATAGGCTTGAGCCCACTCAATTAAATGGCTCTAATTACGTCTATGACTGCGTCTGCGGTACCTATCGCTCAATTTCATTATTTCATAACCTCGCTGTTGTTGTGTTTGATTTGCACGAAATCGTTGCATTCTAAGCTTATCTACTTCACTGTCACTCACTAAAGAACGCAATTCTGACATAGCAATACGACTGTTCTCTTGATCTGTATCTCTCTGGTCATCAGTGCGGTGAGTTAGCTCTTCGCACATTTCATCGACTGCGACAACCTATGTCAGGTCATCTTCTCCTCGGCATCGTAACCTTTTAAACCTTCTCTGGACTTCCACAAATATTTCAAGACCGAAATTAGTCAAATCAGTTAGGTTACAAAATAAAAATAAAACAATAACAATGATACAAATCAACAAACATGCCCGATTAACCAATAGCAACTAATATAAATTATAATACACTGCTGGGCCACTGTTGTATTTTTTACATCCAAATTTTCTACTTTTCCGGTGAATTTTCCTAAAATTCTTCTTTCGTATCAACCTTCTCCTGGCAATTACGAACATCTTAAAAAAATTTGAGCCAAATCGGACCAGCCTTTCTCGATTTTTAGCGAGACTAACGAACAGCAATTAATTTATATATATATATATATAGAAGATTGTTCTCAAAATATATTTTGTACCTATGTATTTGATGTATAAATAGCCACTAGCCAGCATACAGGTACCTTTTTCATTTGTTTCAAAATTCAATTTAAATTGTATGCTTTATTATGTTGCTGTTGAACAATGTTTATTTAAATTGCTATTCCATTAAAAAAATATTTACAATATGTATGAGTGTAAACAACCATACAATAATTATTATCAATCTAACAACAATAATTATTTGGTAGGTCTAATACATTATAATCTCATTAAGGTTCCTAATGTACCTTCTATTATAATATTAACAAGCCCAAATGCTATAGTAACACTATGGATAATATCACAAATATGTTCCTATCTCCCTTTTCATAGTCCATAAAGAATAAATAAATTAACTAAATTTATCTTAAGACACTAATATATTTTTTATTCAGTTACTTTTGTTTATTAAAATCGCTATATTATTATAGTTGATGGGATTACTAATTCACCATTTTCTAGATTAAATTCTTTGAGACTAAATAGTACTAGATATTGAACATTTTTATGTCAGTGTGTATTAAATATTAATACCTTATACTTGATTGTACTGATACCTATAAAGAATTTTTTTTTTATATCTAGAATAACTAATTTCTGATCAAAATGGATAAAATGAACATCTCTAAATCTAAAAGGTAACTTTTACAATAATATTATATACTTATCTCTTATGTTACTTTATACACACCTTACTTATAAATTATTTTAGCATAAGATAAACTGTTAAAAAAACTAAAAAAAAAATGAAAAATGAATTTGTTGTACCTACCTATTATAAATATTTTATCCTACATGTAAGTAGGTACCTATCTACAGTATTATTAAAATTTAAAGATGGATTATTGATTTGAGCTAGCAAACATGCATCAAAAGGTAACCCTAATCATTTTTTAATGGAAAATTTATCGCAGTTACCAATAGCATTTTATACATTTTACCTCTGTAGACATGTTTACGATAGATATTTAATATTTATTACCTATATAGTTATAAATATAATATTACCTTACAAGACAAATACAAAAAAAAAATGACTAGTGGAATTGTCATAAGTTTTTGGAAAAATGTTGTATATTTTAGTTTATTTTATTTGCTTGATAAATTAATTAATATTCAATAGGTACATGTACCTAACTTTATAATAACTATAATTGGCTTGAACTTTTAATTTTCCTTATACAAATAAACTTATAAATAAAAGCTTATAAATAAACTATTAATTTGTGACAGATTTTGCAATAAAATCTAAAATATTGTATAACAGTGGTATTAAGCTATTCAATAATAAGATAATTTCACAAAACTATGTTCTATTTGTATATTATAAATAATAATATTGTATAATTGTAGTACCTATATTGGCATTTGTTAATTATAAAATATATAATCAAGAATTTCAAGTAATTTGAGAGCATAATTCTTATTGGTTAAAAATGGAGCATGGTATATTAGCAAAACGATCTGACTAGTTTTAGATTCGAATCAAATTTTTCTTCTCAAAAATCTCTATATTAAGAAGGTGCTACACAGGTATTTGTTGTCTCTGTCTTGCTAGTGTGTAACATAGTCAATTTACTCTCAGCAGATCATATTTAGATTTATTTTAAAATTAGAGTAAATTGAGCTATTACAAAACTTGACGGTAAGAATATTATCGGTATTTGCATGTGGGTTTTTTTTGAGATAATTCAATTTTTTAGCAAGTTTTGCATATATGATATAGCATAAAATAAAAATGCTCATAAGTCATAACTCACTTAAAAACTGAATTATTGTAAGAAAGTAAAAAACCCACATAACACAGATAATGTTCTTACCGTTAAGTTTCATAAATCATAATAGGTCAAATCACTATAAATTTTAATTTTTAAACTATGTTAAACATTAACTAGTTTACGTACTTGTAAGATGGGTACAACAAATATCTGTGTAGCATCATCTTAATAACTAAAAGGCAAATTTCTTACATTTTTTCTTAAATCTTAAATTTTAAAGAATATTAAATATTAATTAATAAAAAAGTATTTTATTATTACTAGATTTACCATGCACAATATGACGTGTTAAACAAGATGTGCCATATATTATGCTTTTTTACAGACAAACCCATAGGTGGGTATTATTAAAAATGCCACAACTCTTGCAAATGTGTGAATATTAAATATTTAGTAAGAATGTATAGAACCTGCATGTGTTGTCACCATCTTATTGACAAATAATGTTCAGGAGAATCCGTTCAACTGTTGTTTTTTTTGCATTTTAAAATATCATATTTCATTGTTTTAAGTGCATATTTACATAGATATTTTTGGGATATTAGCATGCTTTTATAGAGTGTTTGAGGTCATAAGCATCCTTACCCTATGGCTAAATGTTATAATCTAAATCTAACAAATCTTGAAATATGCCCTTTAATAATATGACCTTAAAAATGTAGAAAGTAGGTAACAATATCATAATAATAGTTTTTTAATTTTAAATATTATTTATTAGTTTTTATGTATATTTAATTTTAGATTTAAATTGTTACAATAAAAATATAAAATAATTAGTTAATGATCTTCAAAACAATCACTGGTAAATTTGTCATCTATTACTTTCTTCTACACAATTTCCCTTATTAAACTACAGTTAAAATAAATCTGATTTTAATATATTAACTATTAGACTAAGGTTTTATCAATAAAATTAATAGTATAAACATTATTACAAAATAATTTAATTTACATCTCTTTGTGTCTTAGTGAATAAGTAGGTATTCAAAATATAAATAATTACACTAATATTTAATACATTTATGTTATTTTAACTAGACGGAGGAGTAATAAAGATTACACAAATCTAGCTGTTAATCAAACTTTTTGTGAAGATCAAAACAGTTCTAAAAACATAGTTTGTGAAAAAGATTCTATCAATTCTTATATAAAACAGAATAAAGCAGACAATAAAAATACAATATATTCACATGATGATATAATATGGAAATCATTTATTTGTGATGGAGAAATGTAAGTTGTCAATTATTTAAATTCAATTTCATATCAATTTTGTTTTTTGGTGAAACTCAAAATTAATATAACAAATAATCATAGATACTCATAGTTTTCAACAAATGTTTATATTAGCATTTTCTATATAAGGTATTAACCTAAAAAAAGTTAACTGTTTGACTTATCTTAGTTATTTTAAATTTTCTAATTTCTATACATTTCTATTGAAAATTTTATTCTGTCAAGGAGCTTGACATTTTTATAAAAGGTTTGTCATAAGTTGTCATTATAGCTATTAAAAATATTAAAAATACATATCCACAATTTTTTTAAGCATTTGGCAAAATTTGTTAAAAATACAAAATTATTTGTATTATTTAGTAGTCAAAAATGTACAAAATGTTCAATTTTTATACTGAAGGCTAGAACATTTATTCCATGGTTTCTCATACATAACATTTTGTTTGTAGTACAGCATAAGTTTAAAATCATAATTCATATAAGTAATACAATTATTTATATTTTAGAAGGAGTTTTAAAAACAAAATTAAAAGTCAAGCTAGGAATACAAGTTTTTGTGAAAAACAAAACCATAATAAAAGTAATCAAAAGCAAAGAAAATTTTCTGAACAGGATTCCATTTATGATAAATTTGATCAGAATAAAGCAAGTTATAGAAACAGCATTGATTTACATGATGATACACGTACATCAATAACTGATTATGGAGAAAGGTATTTGTCAATTATTAATATTCATCTTCTCATAGTCTTTTTTTTTTATAGGTTGTTCACTATTAGTTAATACTTATTCCTTTAAACAATTGTTTTGTTTGTACTTTATGGATTTAAATTTTGAAGAAAAATTTTACATTATGTTGGAATATATTATACAATTTAAAATGTAATTAAAACTTTTTCATTGGTATTAAGTGTTTTAGAAGAAATCGATGAAAATATTTTCAACTTATCAAAAGAATATTCTCTTGCTCATTGTGTGGCTGAAGATTTACGAATGGGAGCAGGCATAGCTGTTGATTTCAAGTAAAAATGTCTTATATATTTTATGATTTAAACTCAGTTGCACATAATTTATTTTACTATTTAGGCGCATCTTTGGTGGTGTTGGTACACTAGTTGATCAGAAATTAAAAATAGGAAATGTCGGTATAGTGAAGCGCAATGATCAATATGCATTTTATATAGTAACAAAAAAATATAGTAGTGGTAAACCTACAATGAAAACAATGGAAACAGCTCTTGGTTCACTTTTGAACATAATGAAAAAACACAATTTAACAAAATTAGGAATACCCAAAATTGGTTGTGGATTGGATAATCTTGATTGGTCTGATATAAGATCGCTCATCATTGATACATTTTCTGGATCTGGTATTCATGTAACTGTATGTGTACCTTCAAAAGTAAGTGTTAGAAATTAATAACCACTACTTACTAAACATCCTAATCCGTTTATTATTATAAACAAATAAATTGTCAGTTATTAGATAATATGAGAGCACCGCCCAGTTTAAAAGTTTACATCACACCTAACAATTTATGGGAGATGGAAGCCGAAACAATTATTATTTTATTTATTGATTTAGAAGAAGTATGCGGCAAGAATTGGACAAACAATATAATAGATAAAGTGGATGCTAAATACCCATTCAAACAAAAGTATTTATATTTTAATTTAATTCATTCCAGCTATCCATTGAGATTTTAAATTTCATATGAAATGATGTATGATAGTTTCTGTAACATCCATCTTATTAAAAAAAAAAAATATTAAGTATTAAAAACCGTAGGTAATATAAAGTTATTAGGTACTATTACTATATTAGTGATCGACGACAGTGTACAAAATTAAATTAAATGTAACTAATTTGGTAAGGTAGGTAGGTTAGGACCTTAAAATCATTATAATTTAACAGAAACTCAGTTACTGCGTGCTGCAGTTTTGTCATAATTCAAAATTTTTTTAAAAAAATTCATTCAAAATATTGATGTTCTATAGCAGTACTCTGAGTTGGTAATAAATAGGTTTTCAAAATAAGATTGTTAATGCGGAAATTCATTTTATGAACAAAGATTCATTATATTAATTACAACTTATCAATTTGAAACTAAAATGTTCTGAATTATGTAAAAAATGTTCATAACTACAAATTAAAATCTGGTTTGCAATGTAATCAAAAATTTTTATTCATATTTTGTGTAATATATTTTTTTCAAATAAGAATATATCACTAAAAAATGAAACCAAATATACCTGGGGGAAAAATGAGAAATAAACTAAAAGTATCGCTTTGCATTTGACACATGCCCAAATATACACACCTGTATATTATATTATTTTATATTTATTCAAAACTTCATAAATATTGTTGCCATTAAAAAATTAAATAAACTCAAATGTTGGCGGTAAAATTAAATTGTCATGGCAGGGTCACACATTGGTAATGACTACAGACTAATGGTAAATTTAGCCATAAAATGGTTAATGCCTCTATGTATAAAGGGCTTGGGCCTTATTATGCAGCAGTTTTACAAATTGTATTACAGATGGTAATTTATAGGTAATTTTATAATTTCTCATAACTTTTTAGTAACATTTTAAAAACAGTTAGCATTATGCCTTTATTAATTCTTTTTTTTATGATAACTATCACGGTGAACCCACTCATTTACATAGGTACTATACATTGTATCTAATTTTTTTTCTTTATTATTAGTTGTGAGGTAATATAATTTCAGGATTTCCCTATTTAAATAAATTACAACATCATTAAACATCTTCTATATTTAATTAATTGTATTTTATTTGTTTTTAGTTTGTTAAAAGACGTCAAACATAAGAAGTTAGAGCCTGGTAACATAACATGCTACACTGTTAATAACGAAGTAATAGTTTGTATGTTTATCTCGCAAAATGCATATTACAGTTCTTTAGAAAATGGATTCAAATCCATAGATCGTAAAATCAAAAAATATAAGTATATGGCTATTCAAAGTGGACCTATTGAACCTAGTGATAATTTCAAACCAATAGCATGGACAGTATTAATATTACGATCTGTAGTTAATCGCTCTTCTGAATTATGGTTATGTGGTGATGTCAGACAAACAAATGGCATGGTATACGATCAATATTGTAAAAATGTATACAGCTCTATGAATTATTCATTTAAATAAACCTAATTCTTAAACTTAAAAAAACATTTTAACATAAAAGAAACATAATATTGTAATCAAAATTAAAGATGTAAATAATCACAGAAATATTTTAATCAAAATAGTAGGTAGGCATCTACAAAAAACAGATAGCTATACTTATTCTTAATTCTATGTGAGCATCTGAATAATAAAAATACTATAACATTATATAAAGCATTATGTGATTCTTGTATGATCTATTCAAATAGGTAAATATATGTTATTAATTATAAGCAACATAATCTTATACTTGAAGACTGAAGCAGTATTATTTATATTTAAGGTTCAAAATGTTTGATAATTCTACTCATATAGCCGCAAATCTGAATTTTGTAGAATCCACTCCGGCCCAAAGCCCGTCCAGGGCAGGTCTGGGTAAGCCTGGCTCGTGCAGGTCCTTACTATATAACCTATATGGCTATATGGCTATATATAGCTATATGGCTATATTATATACAATATGTATATAATATGATGTGATAGGTTAAATGCATCATTACGACTTACGACAAACACGTCCTGTGTGTCAGGTTTTTGCAGGGAAATTTATTTTATCACTAAGTTCCTTTTTTTTATCCAATAAGTACTTTTCCTTATTTTTATTCTTTATTTGTACTCTTTAGTTGGCATATTAATAATTAAATAATACCAATATATTATTGTACTTGTACGTGAGTAATGTGTATAAGTATAGCCATCCTTTGTGTTATTATAATATATTAATATTCATTATCGTTGATAATTATAAATGCTCATAACTCACTTAAAAACTGAATTACCGTAAAAAAACTTCCAGAAAAACACAGATAATGTTCTTGCCATCAAGTTTTATAATAGATCGATTCACTCATATTTTTAAGCTAACGGCATAAAACTTGAATTTCTGAGCGTAAATTTGGTGTTACGCGTTTGTAAGACGGAGACAACACGCATGCGTGCGGCGTCCTCTTAATCGAAAATTTCCCTCATAGGGGATAAGAAAAGATAGTAAAGATTTACAGGTTTTACACAAGTGTTGCTTTGTGTTGCATGTTAGGGTCAGTTGTACCATAGAATAATATTATTCTATGGTTGTACCGTCTACGGCAGTGTTTCTCAACCTTTTTACTGTGGCGACCGGTTACGTACCACCTAGATCCCGCGACAAGTAGATCCCCGTACGTCAACTGGATCCCCTTGGACATTTAGAACCTCATAGACATATAGATCCCATACTAACTATAATCTCCTTCGTCATTTAAATACCCAGATTTTGGCGGTAATTTTAAAACTTATAAAAATACGTAAATACTAATAAATATATTTTAATTTATTCAACTATAAAATAGCATTTATAAGTTAAAAATATTTATAAAATATAAACTATAGGAGTAATAGTGATAATTAAGTGATGCTTGTAAAATTTCTAATTTTTTCAATTTTAAACCTATTATATTGTATATTTTTAAGAATTTTGTTTTAGTTTTGGTTATTATAAAATTATTTTTAAAAAATGAAAGACCATTATATTGTAATACTTAGACGATTATGTATTGAATGGTATAGGTTCGCAAAACAGTTTTTAAGGGTACATTTTGTTTTAGCACAACATTTAATCTCAGATAACAATGTAACATTTATTTTATAGTTATCATATATTCATATTGTATAATTTAAGGCAACTTTTGGAGTGTGTGTGTGGGTGGGTGGAACTCCCTCGAATTAATGACTACTGGTTTGAATTCTGCAATTTTAATGCTGACATATTTACATTTTTTCATTAATCTGTTAGTGTGAGTATACCTCATCTAGTCATATCTATAATTAGATTGGGTACTTTAGAGAGAAACTATTGTTTATATAATGTATAATATATTAATATTATTAGTATACCTATGTCCTATACAGATATACTAGCTGTCTCGCACGGCGTGGCCCGTACTAAAGAAATGTTATTTTATATAAATGTTCTTATAATATTTAGTATTTTAACATATTATATAAAAACATTTTAAGGTTAATATATTTTGATTTGTGTATTTTAATTTTAATGTTTTGATGTATCGATAATTTAAATAATATGCAATGTATTTTAATATTAATTATTTATATAGATTATAGGAACATTAATTACATACAAAATTAGCTTCCATACTCCATAAGTCAAGTAGTTTTCGAGATTTGGTGTTTAGTCAGAGTGTGACCTTTCTCGTTTACCTATAATATATTATATATATGTACATATATACTATATAGATAAAAAATTATACACTATATAAGCATGCTCACCCCTACTTTTTCCTTTAATAATGAATCTATACTTACAAACCATATTTTCAATACTTTTAAGGAGTGTCCTATGATAACAAAATCTTTTATTTTTCAAATGAGAACACCCCTTTCTTTTTAAATTATTAAGTGGATAATTTTTTTGAAAATGTTAAAGTAAGTAGGTACCTACCTAATTAAAAATGCAAACTCTTAGTTGCGTTAGTTAATACAATATTTAGAATCTAGATGTATATTCCGTATAAATTATATAATATTATAGCTACTATAGTAATACTAATGAATAGAATAACTATGGCCTATGCCCTTATATGGCGTGTATGGTGTATAAGTGTGGATTCTAGGACAAAATATCCACGGACTAAATATCCAAACCAAAATATCCAAAGACGAAAAATAATCCAACGGTCAAAATATCCACGGAAAAAATATCCAAATGTATCAGTTTTTCCGTAAATAATTACATTAAACTTTAAGTACTTTCTAATAAAAAAGCTCAAATACCAAAATATTTAATTATAAAAATAAAATATATAATAATAATTAAATAATGTAAGTATAAATATATTACATAATATATGAATTACGTTGGTATAGTAATAGTATCTCAAAATATACTGCACACTGCACACACATTAGCCAGTTAGTCAAATGATATAAAATAAAATTTAAAATAATTTGTTTTTATGAATACAGAATACGAACAATAAAATAGAATAAAATATTAAATAATTGTCTCTAAAAAATGACTACCTACCGTCCTACCCTATTTTCTAAAAATGTAGAAAAGCTTTTTTAAAAATAGAAAATTTTATTTTATTTTTTAAGCGTTATTACTTTTAACCTTTATCGTGGGTGCGTGTACTTAGCCAAGAGCTAAGCTCCCCAAGCTTTATTAATATTATGTATATTTATATCAACAACAATTAAAAACTCAATTCATTATTCGTTATTGGGACAAAACGGATACTTTTGGATATTTTGACCGTTGGATATTTTGCCCTTGGATATTTTGGTTTGGATATTTTGTCCGTGGATATTTTGACCGATTACCATAAGTGTGTTATAATAAATAACACGTATAAAATATGTGTAACACGTTGAATCATATAATATCCTGGGTGTGGGTGATTCACACGCATATTCTGTCATTTATTTTGGACTTGTGAAATTTACTTAAGGGCTATATTTTCAAGTACTTAGTACTTACATAGATATTTTACACCATTTAAGGAATGTTCTGTGCTATCATTTGTGAGGTGGCAAGGTGGGAATTTGCCCCTGGCTGATTTTATGATTTTAAAAAAGCCCATGGGTTGCCCAGTGGTTTTCGGTTAACCATTATTATATTATATAAGTTATTAGCGCAAAAATATGCTTATATTTATAGGAACATATTAGATTGTGTAGATACTAAGGATTTATTGCGACAAATCATAATGATGATTATGAATGAATCTTAAAATTAATAGTTGGAATATACCTATTTATATGTTGTGTGTGGACGTGCCTGAAAGTTGGTATGTATGCATGTGTTTTATGAGGAAAAAGGAACATAATATATAAATATGTGCTTGCAGCCGGTTGTTTTAAGTCACCTACCCATTTGTGATGGTATAACTTTTGCCCCTTCTATTAAAAACTGAAATAATATCAACATATTTATTTTTTTTTAAAACGAGAAACAACCCTAATCTAGTATAGGTTAGGACGGTTAGGTATTTAATTAAACAGTTTTTGAAAAATATAAATATTGATAGATTAGTATTAATTAGTAATTACTATAATTTACAAATCATCATAGCCCCTAAATTTTCCAAACCTATATTATCATGGACCTATCCTTAGTAGTTAGTATATAATAATATAATTCAAAAACTAGATACTCGTTCAAATTTGGGTTTGAATACATCGTTCTTAAAAATGTATTTGAAATAAATAAACCAACCTACAAACCCCACCCTATATATATGTAAACCACAAGCACAGGCACAGATCACAGATATCGATGACAATTTATTATTTTCATTTGTCACTAAAGTCAGTATAGGTAGGTATACTGAATAGGTACCTATTACTGACTTGTGACTATGTCTATACTGTCTGCCTGTCTATACTGAGTACTGACCAGTGACCTACTTGTGTCTGTCTTGTGAATTTCTTTATACCCATGGGCTATGACGTGTTTGGATTGCCGTTGACTATTGTTTAATATACGAATGTAAAAACTAAAAACCCAAACAACAATTATTGGGAATAGTGTAAGTTAATCGAAATCGATTTAATAATCAGAATTATTCAGAGGTATTGTACGTAGTTGTGATATTCTGATAGGTATGTGTAAACGGTTAACGCGAATAGGTACGCGAAAATATAGATACGGAATAATATACCTATTATAAACTTGGTATGGTTTTAGAAATTGTTATTGTAATTATGTGTTATACTATGACATGTGTGTTGTGACTAAGTGACTTGTGAGTTGTGACTATAGTATAGCCGATCTTTGCCTGGGGGTGGTGGGCAATATTTTTATATAATAATATAAACAAAATAAAAAAGACAGGTAAGTGGATGTCACTCTGCTGTACAGTAGGTTACAAGTGAGTCACTGTAATGGATTATGTTAAATTTGAATCCAATGATATAATATCATTGTATAAGAAAAACGATTCTGAGCGAAGATGGTCAGTCAGTCTATATTTCTATAA